TCTTCCAGAGCCAGCGTTACCGGCATTTCGCGGATGAGTTTCGCAACGTGCCCAAGTTCCTGGCGTGCCTTGGGTTCATGCTGCTTGCTTTCGTCGTGGAGGTGATCGCGGTGCAGTTCGTCACCGTCATTCTCGGCCTCGACTGGCATAAGTAAGTGTCGATTGCGCGATTGAGTGTAAAATTGACATAAACTAAATCTTGTATATATATGTATATGTATTCCAATTTAGGCAACTCTGAATTGTGCAAGGTCCGTGCATGTAGTGGTGGTGCAGTTTGTCACAGTCGTTCTCGGCCTCGACTGGCACAAGTGAGTCCCGCCTGCAGCGAGTGAGTCTAAAATGGCGGAAATGCATGTCAATCTGAGTGAGTTCGGATTGTCGCACGGGTCACCTTGGAGGTGATTGCGGTGCAGTTCGTCACCGTCTGAACGGCCTCCGCGCGCCCATTGTCCTTCCCCTTCCCCTTCTCCTTCCCCCTCCCCCCTCAGAACCGTCACCCCGCTCCCTGACACGGGGCAGTGGATCCTCCTCGGTTTGAACGACCTCCGCGCGCCCATCGTCCTTCCCCTTCCCCTTCTCCTTCCCCCTCCCCCCTCAGAACCGTCACCCCGCTCCCTGACACGGGGCAGTGGATCCTCCTCGGTTTGAACGACCTCCGCGCGCCCATCGTCCTTCCCCTTCCCCTTCTCCTTCCCCTTTCCCTTCCCCCCACCCCGTTTCCCCCCTCAGAACCGTCACCCCGCTCCCTGACACGGGGCAGTGGATCCTCCTCGGTTTGAACGACCTCCGCGCGCCCATCGTCCTTCCCCTTCCCCTTCTCCTTCCCCTTTCCCTTCCCCCCACCCCGTTTCCCCCCTCAGAACCGTCACCCCGCTCCCTGACACGGGGCAGTGGATCCTCCTCGGTTTGAATGACCTCCGCGCGCCCATCGTCCTTCCCCTTCCCCTTCTCCTTCCCCTTTCCCTTCCCCCCACCCCGTTTCCCCTCTCAGAACCGTCACCCCGCTCCCTGACACGGGGCAGTGGATCCTCCTCGGTCTGAACGACCGCCTCCCCACGCCCCTCACGGCCATCCTCCGCGCGCCCATCGTGGAGATGCACGATTTCATCATGCTCTTCATGCTCCTCGCCTTCTCCGTGCTCTTCGGCGCCATTCCCCGCGCGGGGATGGCTCTCGGCGCGCGCTACTGCCTCTCCATCGGGCTCAGCCGCATCCTCCGCATCGCCACGTTTGCCTCCACGATTCTGCCGGCACCGCGGCCATGGTGTGCGGAGGCGCGCTTTGGTGACACGTGTCCCCGGCACCCGCACCCCTGGGCGGCCAAGTATCTGACGCCGTATAACGACAATCCGGACCTTCTTCACCAGCTGATTTCCACCGACACTGCATTTGGTGAGTCCCACTCCTTCCCCCCTTCCCTTTCCCCCTTCCTCCCACCCGAACCCCTGGGCGGCCAAGTATCTGACGCAGTATAACGACAATCGAGACCTGCTGCACCAGCTGATTTCCATTGACACCGCTTTTGGTAGGTCCCTCACACTCCTTCCCCTTCACCCCCCACTCCCAGCCCTCCTGCCTCATTCTCCCCCCTCCCAAATAACACTTCAACGGCTACTGCGTTTGGTATGTCCCATTTCCCTCTTTCTCCCCCCCCCTCCCCCCTCCCCCCCCCCCACTGCTTTTCCCCCTTCCCTTTCTTCCTTTTCTCCCCCCTCCATCCTCTTCACGTTCCCCTGCCCATCTCCATGTTGACACATATGCATACACTCACGTACACACGCTCACTTACACACTTACAAACCCATTCCAACCCCCCCTCCCCCCTTCTCACCCCAACACACACACACACACACACACACACACACACACACACACACACACACACACACACACACGGACAGCTAATCTGAACTAATAAAGACTGGGCCGCACTGCAGTTCCTGGTGGCCTTCCTGCGTGCTGTGAACTCACCTATCTCTCATGCCCTTTTTCTCCTTGTTTCGCCTTCTTCACCTTTTCTTTCCCCATCGCCTGTCCTGTCCTTCCCACTAGAGTTTCGCCTGACTGGGGAGTCCTAGAGTTTCGCCTGACTGGGGAGTCCTAGAGTTTCGCCTGACTGGGGAGTCCTAGAGTTTCGCCTGACTGGGGAGTCCTAGAGTTTCGCCTGACTGGGGATTCCTAGAGTTCCTGATGGACTTCCTGCGCCTCCGTGGACTCAGTTCTCAAATTTCTCTTTCTCTGCTTCTCCTTCTCTCCTTCTCCCTCTCTCTTTCTCCTTCTCTCCTTCTCCTTCTCTCCTTCTCCTTCTCCTATCATCCTTTCCCCAGCCGCCCCCCAGTCCTTTCCTGCAGAGTTCCGCCCTGACTGGGGAGCGCTACAGTTCCTGGTGGATTTCCTGCGTCCCATGGACGCCCGCGTTCACGACGGCGCTGCTGCTTCGTCTGGAGCGTTCAGCAGCTTCGTCATCCGCCCCTACGGCGGCTGCAACGACCTCGCCTTTAGCGGCCACATCGTCGTTGCTGCGCTCACAGCTTGCGCCTGGCAGGTGGGTTCAAAATAAATGAGAAGAAAGAAGGTTCAGGGTAACAAATTTTGTTTTGTTTTTTTCTTAATATTTGATATTTTCATTAATTCTTTCAATTGCCCTTTCTCCCTCACACAATGCTCATTTCACCCAAGCGTTATCCCCTCCTCCCAACACGTGGTGGTGTCAACTACAGGAGGCGTATCCAGGGTGGGGGTTTACAATGGTGTGGGTGCTGGTGATGCATGGCCCTGAAAGATACTTCTGCCATACTGCCTCTCTCTCCCTCACACACCGCCCTCTTTCCCCCCATACCTTATTCCCCTTTTCCCAACGGATATGAATGTGGACCACAAGAGGCGTATCCAGGGTGGGGGTCTGCAATGGTGTGGGTGCTGGTGATGCATGGCCCTGAAAGATACTTCTGCCATACTGCCTCTCTCCCTCACACACCGCCCTCTTTCCCCCCATACCTTATTCCCCTTTTCCCAACGGATGTGAATGTGGACCACAAGAGGCGTATCCAGGGTGGGGGTCTGCAATGGTGTGGGTGCTGGTGATGCATGGCCCCCAAAGATACTTCTGCCATACTGCCTCTCTCTCCCTCACACACCGCCCTCTTTCCCCCCATACCTTATTCCCCTTTTCCCAACGGATATGAATGTGGACCACAAGAGGCGTATCCAGGGTGGGGGTCTGCGATGGTGTGGGTGCTGGTGATGCATGGCCCCCAAAGATACTTCTGCCATACTGCCTCTCTCTCCCTCACACACCGCCCTCTTTCCCCCCATACCTTATTCCCCTTTTCCCAACGGATGTGAATGTGGACCACAAGAGGCGTATCCAGGGTGGGGGTCTGCAATGGTGTGGGTGCTGGTGATGCATGGCCCCCAAAGATACTTCTGCCATACTGCCTCTCTCTCCCTCACACACCGCCCTCTTTCCCCCCATACCTTATTCCCCTTTTCCCAACGGATATGAATGTGGACCACAAGAGGCGTATCCAGGGTGGGGGTCTGCGATGGTGTGGGTGCTGGTGATGCATGGCCCCCAAAGATACTTCTGCCATACTGCCTCTCTCTCCCTCACACACCGCCCTCTTTCCCCCCATACCTTATTCCCCTTTTCCCAACGGATATGAATGTGGACCACAAGAGGCGTATCCAGGGTGGGGGTCTGCAATGGTGTGGGTGCTGGTGATGCATGGCCCCCAAAGATACTTCTGCCATACTGCCTCTCTCCCTCACACACCGCCCTCTTTCCCCCCATACCTTTCCCCCCTTTTCCCAACGGATATGAATGTGGACCACAGGAGGCGTATCCAGGGTGGGGGTCTGCAATGGTGTGGGTGCTGGTGATGCACGCCGCCCAAAGGGACATCCGAGAGAGATCGCACTACTCGGTTGATGTCATTATCGCTCTCTACCTCGCTCCACTCCTCTGGCAAATCACTCGGTTCGTCTGGTCCCGCCCCCCTCCGCCTCCGTCCCGAAAAGAGCTCATGGTATCGGCTCTTGCTGATAGGGAGGCTGATCTGGTAAAGGCAGTCAAGGAAGGGGATCTTGATTGGGTGAAATGGACTGTTGAGATGGCACGGCGTGAGGCGGATGCGAAGGAGAAGGAAGAGGTGGAGGGGGGTGCGGAAGCGGGAAACGCGGAGAGGGGTACTGCTATGCAGCAGTGTTTGGCTCACCTCGGAACTGTGCTGATTTTAACCATGCTTGGGGTGGTGCTGCTGGCGATTTTGTTATCGGATGAAGGGCATAAGGCTGTCCTTGAAAAGAAGTAGGGTGTACAATGTACCGCGGTAGTACGTGTGCTTTTGTTAGAAAATGTTAACTTAGGACCTCCTGGAATTTATTACCGTAGCATTTGGACTGCTTGATGTGATGAGGTGCTGCATGTGCGGTACCTGGACGTGCTGCTGATTCTTTCCTCTCTTCAGAGCAATTCATACAAAAAATTGCAGCAATAAGGGCCGGCTGGCAGTCACACAATACAGGTAGCGTTCTGCTTGACCGAGCAATCAAGGTGTGCTGCTTCTTTCCACTGTGCTAAGAACGCTTCATACACAAAGTGCAGCAATACAGGCAGGATACTACTGACTTGACTGACAACGTATCAACTGGGCTGCAAAGTACCGCAATCAACTAAAATGCAAAGAAAGGAGATGCATCGCAAGGCCTCCTGGTTTTGAGGCGCCTCGAAACCAGCAATTGCATCGCATTGCCTCCTGGGCTGCCAAGACAAGCCACGAAGACAATTTACAAAGGCAAGCCACACGAACGCATTTCGCAAGGGCAAGACACAGTGTCAGTTAGGTAGGGCAGTAGGAGCCTGGGATTGAAAGGTAGATGAGGGAGGTTGAGGGAGATGGAGGGAAGATGGAGGCATTGCATAAGGGAACATGAGAAGCGTGATAGAGATGTAAGGCAGGGGAACAGCAAGGGGTAAGTGTGGGGAAGATGAGAGGTCAGTTGGTGGAAGGGGGGAGAGGGGGAGGAGGGTGAGGGGGTGGGTGGGGTGAAATATGAGGGGTGAGCGGGGGTGGAGATGATCGGGGATGGGGGGTGGTGGGGGAAATGGGGGTGATTGGAAGGGAAAGGAGGGCTGAGGGGGGGAGAGCAGATGGGTGAAAGGAGGACGGGGTAAGATGAGGGGTGCGACGGGGAGATGAGGGGAGAAAATGGAGCAGGGAATGGCGGAGGGATGACGGGAGGTCGAAAGAAAAATGAGGGGTAAGTTGGGGAGGAATGAGAGGTGGGGGGAGCCGAGAGAGTGGAGATCGGGGGAGACGATTGGCGAACTGGAAGGAGAGCGGAGAAAGATGAGGGGAATGTGGAGGGGAAATGAGAGGAGAGTGGGGAAAGATGAGGGGAATGCGGAGGGGAGATGAGAGGAGAGCGGGGAAAGATGAGGGGAATGCGGAGGGGAGAAGCGGGGAAAAATGAGGGGAATGCGGAGGGGAGAAGCGGGGAAAAATGAGGGGAATGCGGAGGGGAGATGAGAGGAGAGCGGGAAAAGATGGGGGGAATGCGGAGGGGAGATGAGGGGTCAGGGGTAAGAAGATGAGGAAGATGTGCGGAAAGAGCAGGGAGAGATGAGGAGAAAGCGAGGGGGGAGGAGGGGAAGAGGAGAGAGGGAGGAGATGAGGAATGTCCCCCCTACCCAACCACACCCCGCACCCCATCCCCCCTCTCCATCTTTACCCACCTCCCCCTCTCACCCCCCCTCCCCATCTTTACCCACCTCCCCCCTCTCACCCCCGCTCCCCATCTTTACCCACCTCCCCCCTCTCACCCCCCCCCCTCCTCCCCTCCCCCTCTTCTTCCCTCCACTCCCCTACCCCCCTTCCGCCGCTCGCACCCCCCACCCCACCCCCCTTACATTTCCCCTTTCCATTTTTTTACCGTCTTGCCTCGTAACGGGCCTGCAACCGCTTAACCACATGCCTAACGCCATCGAATAGTCGGCAGTGCCGACGCTAACGGGTGCGATGCGAACCGAAGCTACTAATGCGCCCGCATCGTAAGTGTAATCGACGGTGTTGATGCTCCTAAGCAGTCCGAAATGTGTCCTCAGAACCTACTTCTTCGGTTTAGGGTACCAACAATTCCGACGTTGTAAATTGGGTATCCCCCTTTAAGAGCACACATGCATGACCAATAATTCATGCGGTGTTGTTGTTAGAAAGGAAAACAGTAATCTGAACTCATAAACTACACAAACACCTGCATCACACTATTAAGTTTTTGTCAACTACGTTACAAACATGGGACACTACTCAACCGTACTTCGCGTGACCCAACAGCGAGTTCAAATCATTCACGCGCCGCCATCTCGTCTTCCAGGGCACTCACTCACACACTCGACTTTCAAACTTTTTTTCGAAATGTAGGAGACGGCAACATGGTGGCATGAGGCGCAGGTGAGAGCGCAAACAACAACGGGAAATGGTAAGGAGAGGGACAGAGGTGGGCGGACAGAGGAGAGGAGGTGTGTGAGATGCATCCTCACGCTTCTCACTGCTCCACTCTTGCTCTCATACCCCTATCCCTCCCCCACTCCCTCTGCTTGTCGCTCCCACTTGCAGCCAGGAGAGGGACAGAGGTGGAAGGACAGAGGAGAGGAGGTGTGTGAGATGCATCCTCACGCTTCTCACTGCTTCGCTCTTGCTCTCATACCCCTATCCCTCCCCCACTCCCTCTGCTTGTCGCTCCCACTTGCAGCCAGGAGAGGGACAGAGGTGGAAGGACAGAGGAGAGGAGGTGTGTGAGATGCATCCTCACGCTTCTCACTGCTTCGCTCTTGCTCTCATACCCCAATCCCTCCCCCACTCCCTCTGCTTGTCGCTCCCACTTGCAGCCAGGAGAGGGACAGAGGTGGGCGGACATAGGAGAGGAGGTGTGTGAGATGCATCCTCACGCTTCTCACTGCTTCACTCTTGCTCTCATACCCCTATTCCTCCCCCACTCCCTCTGCTTGTCGCTCCCACTTGCAGCCAGGAGAGGGACAGAGGTGGGCGGAAATAGGAGAGGAGGTGTGTGAGATGCATCCTCACGCTTCTCACGGCTCCACTCTTGCTCTCATACCCCTATTCCTCCCCCACTCCCTCTGCTTGTCGCTCCCACTTGCAGCCAGGAGAGGGACAGAAGTGGGCGGACATAGGAGAGGAGGTGTGTGAGATGCATTCTCACGCTTCTCACAGCTCCACTCTTGCTCTCATACCCCTATTCCTCCCCCACTCCCTCTGCTTGTCGCTCCCACTTGCAGCCAGGAGAGGGACAGAAGTGGGCGGACATAGGAGAGGAGGTGTGTGAGATGCATTCTCACGCTTCTCACAGCTCCACTCTTGCTCTCATACCCCTATTCCTCCCCCATGTTGGTGCAACCCTACGGTTTGCACTCGGCTTGTTGTCCGTGTGCGTGCATGCGTGTGTGCATGGAATGGTATGAGGGCATGAGAAAATATATATTTCATGCTTATAATAGTGTGTGAATGATGAGCCATGATGTCGAATGTGTGTGTCGAGTCAATAGCGAGTTATCGCTAGTTGTGGGTCACGTCGACGTTTGTGTGTGTCTCGCGCGGTTTCTGTTTTTGTCGTGTGTGGAACGTTCGGCGTGTCGCAGGTGTGTGCAGCAAACACCCAAGAACTGAAGGATGAGTTTATGGTGAATAACTAGAGCTTTGGCTTCAAGATTCAAGCGATTTCAAAGCTCGCCAAAGGGGCAAACTCCAAGATTGTGAGAATAGTTACATTACAATTTGTAGTGTAACATTTGGCACGTGACGCGTGGCACAAATTCGCCGCGTTGCAAATTTGAACCAATCAAAATGCCCTTGCACCCTTGGTCGACCTAAACTGGTGGAAACCGATATCTGGTTTCCCTCCGTCAACCAAGGCCGTTGGTTTGAGCGCCCAGTTTCGATCGGTGCAGTGCGTTTCACAGGTAGAATAATACAAAACATAACAGTTATAAACAGTCGGGAGGGGTTCTTAACACTTAAGTAAGGGGACTCTTTTCAAACAGAGGCTCATCTCCCCCATTGCTCCCGTTCGAGAGGGGGTAGTCGTCCTCGATCGCCATTTCTCACTTTTTGCTTACTCGATCTCTCACATTCCTCCAGAGCTCTTGCTTCCTAGCGATTTCCCGTTTCCTTAGCCAACCCCTCCTTCATTTTTGCCGATTCGACTCGGCGGTGCTGGTGTTGTGACGCACCGACGACCGATCCAGGAGTCCATGTACGTGACAGGGTCAGGTTAAACGTTTAGAGATTTTTTTTTTTTTTTTTTAATACTTTTTTTTTTTACTTTTGCAATCATTCAGTCGTGAAATCAATTGTACTAACGATAAAATTTATTGCTGAATACTCATCTAGCTGCCGAATCAGATATCCAGCAGAAACCAAGTTGCATGAACTTAAGGTTCGTGCCTAACTCTCGTTTTCAATGGCCCTGTTTTGTTTCTGCAGACAATCGTGCATGTGGTCGGCTGTTCTCCCAACAGATCTTCAGACTCATTTTTCTGGTGAGGTGTTGCCTGATATATGCAGAACAATCAATACTAGATTGACTAGTGTTCGTTTCCATGTTTTGTTTTTCTGGTTTACCGTGATGGTTTTACAATTTTTGTCACTTGCGTATTAACCCTGCATTTGAATTTCATGTGTTTGTTCATGCAGGTGTGCAGAAGGTTTCTGAGCAGGGTCCCCTCTGCCAGGGCGGAACCTGCATTTTGTGGCTGTAGTTAGAGTGACATTTAGCAGCTGGTGTTGTATTTCTGTACACATTTTGTGTAATACAGAAATTGATTGAGCAAGTGTGATCTCCAGTCCAGTATGGAGGAAGACAGCAGACCCTACAAGTGTGACCTTTACCCCCAATGTGTTGCTGAATTCGCATTAGCACATGAGAAAGCACGGCATATGAGGAGAGGACAGCACAAGAGCAGAGTGGAAGAGGCACCATCGGAGGGGTTGCGCGATGACAGCAGCCAAGGAGGAGCTATAGAAAGGCTACGAGCAGCTGCAAACCGTCTTCGTTCACGATCCAGCAAGCGCACGCGCTCTGACACGCAACCTGGGCCGAGCCACTTGGATGTGCAGCCCGACGCCGCAGAACTGAACGAGGACGAGACCGGCTACGCGTTTGCACCAGAGTGTGATGCAACGTCTGTTGATATTGATGCTCGTGCCTACCGTTTCATTCGCAATGTGGCAGGAGGATCCGGGCTTTCGCGTGCAGATATAACGGAGTTGACATCCATTCTCGTTGAAATTGTGGCCAATCCCGACAGGCTCACACTCAAGTCGCTCGCAGACTTCGACAAGTACGAGGAGGCGCAATTGGCCGGGGCCAACATTGAACCGTTTGAGCAGGTCGAGCTTACCAAGGATGGGGACCTGAAGCCCGTGATCCTGTGGCGGCGTTCGGCTCTTACGTGCGTCACGAGCTTATACGAGAACGTGGCGAATGCTCAGGGTTTCGTTGTGCGACTTCCTAAGAATTGTAACCCAGCCAAACGAATCTACAAGGGTCCTAAGACGGGGAGTTGGTGGCGGGAGGTTCTGCGTCTGCTGCCTGCAACTGATCCGGGGAAGGCCGTCGCTGCGGTGATCATCTATTCGGACGAGACGACTCTCACGGTTGATGGCGGACTTAAGGGTTGGCCGGTGTACATCTCACTAGCCAACATTGCGCCGGGGAATCGGTGGAAACCCCACGGCCATCGACTATGTGCTCTCCTACCCGATGATGACGAGAGTTTCTTCACGCATGCAGACAGCGAACGACGGCGGCTTGAAGTATTTCAAGAAGCGTTGGATCTTATCATGAAGGACCTGAAGATGGCACAAAACGAGTAAGTACATGTACTGTATGCTTAGGGACGCACTTCATTTGGTGTTTACATTTGCTAACATGGCCATGCGTGCAGTGGAGTGGAGCTGACGGACCCATACGGTATTCGCCGTACGGTCTTTCCGATCACGTACGCATACATTGGAGACTATCCGGAGCAGTGCAAAGTTGCGAGCACCAAGTCTGGCATCAAGACTCGTTTTCCATGCCCTAGGTGCACCGTTCCGAAGGAGGAGTTGAACAACATGGCGTACCCGCTGGTGTTTCGAACAGAGGCATTACAAAAGGAACGTGTCATGGAGATGGAGCGCGAGACGGGGGTCATGGCACGCAACGACTTGACGAAGCTATACAGTACACACTTCGTCAAGGTACTCTCAAATTTTTGCTTGCCTTTGCATTCGTATGCGATTAATAATATTCGTTTGTCATTTCACAGCTACGGATCCTGACGCTTGTGTGTGTGTGTGCGTATGCGCGTGTGCGTGTGCAGGTGTGCGTGTGCGTATGTGTGCGTGCGTGCGTGTATCTGTGTGTGCGTGTGTGCGTGTGTGTGCGTGTGTGCGTGTATCTGTGTGTGCGTGTGTGCGTGTGTGTGTGAGTGCGGATGTGTGTGTGTGTGTGTGTATATGTGTATGTGTGTGTGTGTGTATGTGTGTGTGTGTGTGTGTTTGTGTGTGTGTGTGTGTGCGCGCGCGCGTATGTGTGTGTCTGTGCGTGCGTGTGTGTGTGCGTGTGCGTGTGTGTGCGTGCGTGCGTGTATCTGTGTGTGCGTGTGTGCGTGTGTGCGTGTGTGCGTGTGTGCACGAGTGCGGATGTGTGTGTGTGTGTGTGTGTGTGTATGCGGATATGTCTGTGTGTATGTGTGTATGTGTGTGTCTGTGTGTGTGTGTGTGTGTGCGCGCGCGTATGTGTGTGTGTGTGTGCGTGTGTGTGTGTATGTGCGTGTGCGTGTGTGTGCATGCGTGCGTGCGTGTATCTGTGTGTGCGTGTGTGCGTGTGTGCACGAGTGCGGATGTGTGTGTATGTGTATGTGTGTGTGTGTGTGTGCAGATGTGTGTGTATGTGTGTATGTGTGTGTGTGTGTGTATGCGTGTATGCGTATGTGTGTGTGTATGTGTGCGTGTATGTGCGTGTATGTGTGTGTGTGCGTGTGTGCGAGTGCATGTGTGTGTAAGTGTGTGTGTGTATGTATGTATGCATGCATGCATATGTGTGTGTGTGTGTCTCTTGCAGAGTGCCTTGTGGGGACAACGCTTTGGCGACACGGATTTCGGCAACCCGTACAGACAACTCACGTCTGACATCATGCACATGTCCCTCCTCGGCGTATACAAGCACATACTGGAGGGTCTCAAGTCGAAGCTCACTGATCGCACATTGCGTGAGCTCGACGCTGCCCTCGAGCGGATCACCAAGTACAGCAGGCAGTCATTCTTTCGGATTCCTTCACACACTGCTGGCTATTTCAGCGGCCACAACACCTTCAAGGCCTTCCACCATCAGGCGGTCATGCAGGTGCTGCCAGCGCTACTGGTGATGGCGAAGGTGGACCAGAGGACGATTCGCGCAGTGGAGCTGTATTGCACATGGCACACGGAGGCATGGCACCGCACGTACCACACCGATGCTTCCTTGGCGAACCTTGACGAGATAGCGCGCACGTGAGTACGATCTTTGCATTACCTGCATCTCATTGCATGTCTTGTGATGCCTCGTTTGTTTTCGCTGCTCCATATTTCCATTTTTAACCCTATGTTGTCCTTGTACCGTGCTGTTGCGTGCTATGCAGGCTCGTTCCGATGCTGATGGATGAGTTCACGGTAGACGATCAAGCATCAAACTTCAACGTTCCGAAGATTCACGCGATGCTGCACGTTAGTGACGACATCAGGCGTCGTGGCGTACCGATTCACTACTGCACCGATGTCTACGAGCATGTGCACGTGGCGTTGATGAAGAGACCATACCGAGCGTCCAACAAGAGGAACGCCGAGGCATCGATCACGCGGCGTTGCCTTACATCAGAGCTCGTCGACTGGTTGAGTGCCAAAGATGAGGTTCCTGATACTCACGCACGTGCAGCCGCCCTTCAGCAGGTGTGTTGTTTGTTTCTCGTTCTATTCGATTTCGATGGATATCTATCTTTCACATGCCTGGTGTTGTCTTATGTTGACTCCTCTTGTAGTTGCTCGCTTAGCACGGTGTGTCATGCTGCGTTTTCAAACCCACATGTGTTATCTGTTGTTGTTGTATTCCTGTACCCTTATTGTACTCATAATTGCAGGCCATAGAGACTGGAGTTCCTACTGTTACAGGGACGACAACAAAGTTTGTATTGGGCGACGAGCGTAACAAGAACTACATGGCGTACATAACGAGCGTCCCAGGAGACTTTGACCTCCTGGAGGATAATATTGTATCCTACCTCAAAGACGAGCATCCGAGGTACATTTTTCTCGTATGATAGAGGTGCATTCAGGTGTTGCGGTACCACCCGACGACGATTTCACGAGGTACAGCAGGTATCCATAGTATGCACGAGCGACTCACGCATTCCATGGTAGTCCTTGGTTTTCGGATGTGGATATTGAGGGGGAGGACGATGAGAAGAAGAAAGTGGTATGGCACGCGAAGCTTTTTCTCCTATTCACATTGCGATGGACTGTGTGCACTGCTGGCGATGGGGAAGAGGAAGATACGGAGGAGCAGTTTTCGCAGCAGCTTGCATTTTGTCGTTATTACGGCTCTCTTCCACAGTCTGCGACGATGGACATGAAGACCTTGAACTGGTGGCCGTCTCGCCACGGGTATGGGGTGTTGCCTGTAGAGAGTATTTTGCGGGTTCGCCACGTCGTTCCCAAAACCATTGACCCGGCGCATCCTGGGGCAACATTTATGTTGAATCACTTTAGATGGTAGGTAGTGATTATGAAAATATGATGTTTTGTAAATACGTATATATTTAGGGTTCTCTCTGTTCGCGTTCACGTTTCTTTAAATACTGCATTTTGAGATGTGTCCAATACTCGCATAACTTGAACTATAGTTTATATTGCACACTTGTGGAATTTCTTACAATTTTCCCATGAATGTTCTACGAAAGGAGCGTCTAACAAAAAAATGCCTGTATCGTTCAATACCACATTGAAGAATTTTTTGTCACCAACACCCATTACGACCACTATGAAGAACAATAAACCATATGTAAAACGTAGTGCAACTCATTGAGCCGCATTGAAACTCTCGCGCATGACCCAGAATGACATGTCGTGTAGTTCTTGCATTCGTGGTGCGTGAGTTGTCGCGTGTGTCTGCATTCACGGAATTGTCTCAACTGGGCCAGTGGCAGTTCTCGGCTGCACTGCTGTAGATACAGGTCAGCTTTGACTTGCATGCTTCGGATGTGTTCGCCAACGTCGCAAGTACCGAATAGCACGCGAGAAAGGTCGATGGACTTCAAGTTTTTTCATGACAGCTATACCCCCCCCCCCCCTGAAAACATGTCCGGACTATCACTTTAGGTATTACGTAAGTACCCAACTATCGAGACGGGTCGGTTGGGGACTTGCGTGTAGCACCGTCTCGGTTTTAACGAAGTCGAGGCAATGCGACCTGTACAAGTCAGGTACAACAACACAAAAACGTCATACCCAACCGGCTAAGCGGCGGTGTGCGAGAGCGTTCGCGTGGCTGCACTTGGCAGCAAAGCGGTGCCACAGTTCATTTCGTGGCTGCACCTGGGAAGTAAAGCAGTGCGACAGTTGCACAGCGTGGCTCTACATGGGCAGCAAAGGTGCCCAGTTGCACAGAGTGTCTCTACCTGGGTTGCAAAGTGGTGCCCAGTTGCACAGCGTGGCTCTAATTGGGCAGCAAAGCGGTGCCCAGTTGCACAGCGTGGCTCTACCTGGGCAGCAAAGCGGTGCGACCGCTGCACAGCGTGGCTCAACCTGGGCAGAAAAGAGGTGCAACAGTGGACGCGTTAACTTTGCCTCGTTGAACCGCTCCAACCACTCACGTTAGCAACTGGTTCCAGCGGGTGTTGTTTTTTTCCAATTAAACGCTATCGCGTCATGTGCGCCACCACGTAGCTTTTCACTCGCCACCTTTGTGCTCCTGCCTCATCCAACGTGGCCCGGGAGGCAACGGTGTGATGTTGAGCAGATAGACGAAACTTAAATTTCGTCCGTCCAGAAGCCACATGCCGACAAACGTCAGCCAAATACAGCTGTACGATGCAGGTGGGCGGCCAACGCACCTCTGGTGAACGCCAGCGGGGACGAAGCCGCTACCGCTCATCGTCCCACGAGGTGCTACTCACATCCTCTGAAACCCCACACACCTTTCCCTTCTCTCCCCTCTCTCCCTTCCCCGTTGGCAGACGAAAGGGTTACCTGCTCTATCTTCGTGTCTCAGTTTGGAAATTCAAACTTCGAAATTTCAAACTTGGTTCAAACTTAGCTCGGCAGACTCTGTTTCCCATTCTATCCTCGTGCTACCCATGCCGAGCCTCCATGCAGTGCGAAGTGGGTCGCTGGTTTGGTAAACACCCCGCCAGCCAATCATGGTGCGCGTGTCAACCCTCGAGTTTACTCTTTCATTAGTGTTTCATTCGTTCATAGTTTCGCCCGCTTTTTTGTCACATTGCCCCATGTATTTAAATAGGTAGGCTGGCAACTAGCGGGCTATACGTTTGTCGTCCGTTATATTTTGTTTCACACCTAGTTGAAGATGGCACGCGGTAATGCTCGTGATCTTGTCCCTGAATCATTGCGTACGCTGCAGACTAGACATGCTCTGCCTCGGAACAGCAAAACCAATCATAAGTATATTGGGAACAACTCTACTGCAGGTAAGTTCACTTGTTTTTATTAATTGCAGATATTCTTAACCTATATCTCACCCACGTTTCTGTATACCTGATTGTCGCAGAAGCATGCCACGAGGACGATGCTGACATTCAACCGCCTCGCCGCGGTGTTACCGGCCAACGGCACAAGCAAGCGAGGCGGAGCCTCGATAACATCAATAACGGCTCTGCCGGTGGGACAACCATGGCGGTGCAGGGAGTAGGTGTGAAGACTAAATCCGACCCCCGTCGCCCGCCATTGAACGCTTCTGCCGCCGATGGAAATGCCAGGGTCGTCGGTGGTTCCCCTTCTTCCTCGGGTCCTCCGGCTGGTGCTGTGAACCCTGCTTCCCCTGCTGCTGTTGTTACTGCTGCTCCCGGATCTCCCCCTTCTGCTGCTGCTGCTGCTGCTGCTGCTGCTGCTGCAAATCCCGGATCTCCCCCTGCTGCTGCTTCTGACGATGGTCCCCCTGGTGGTGGTGATGTCGCTCCCAATGCTGTTGTCTCTGCTGAGAGAGATGCTCCTGAGGAAGGTGCGTGTGTGTTTCAGTTTCCGATCTCCTTCACCTCACCGGTAAAACTAGATCGTAGCTATTGCGCTATGCATGATTTCGTTGAGGTGCACGTGGTTTTATCAAATTTAACAACTTCTGGTTTTGTCTTGTTTTTTCCCCACCGACAGGAAACGCTGATCAGTCCCCGATGGAGATGATTATGTCCCGCGCGAAAGGGAGAGTGTATGCAACTGATGCCGCCCGGTTTGACGAGGAGGCGCACGCCAAACCGGATGTGAATGAGGAGTTGCAAGTCAAGGCGGAGAGCCAGAAGGCAATTGCAGGCGTGTATCAGAAGGAGAACGGACGCCTCGCTGAAGACCTGAAAAGCGCCCTGGTGCTTTTAACGCACCTTGCAAAAACGTGTCAGCAAGTGGACCAGTCGACACTCGACTGGAAGGTATCGTTTCATATGGCTTAAGTCACTGTTTCGGTTTCACACTGTTCTGACTTTTCAGAAATACATCAAGGAAGCGTGCGACGATTCTCTGTTCAAGCAGGAAACGCTCAACCTCAACCCCGACTCTGAAACCATGCTTAATGCTTTAATTAGTAAGTATTGACGGTTCCTTTGTCAACGACTACAATTCTGTTCATTATTACTATTGCTTACTACCCTTTACTCGTGTGCAGGGAAGGCGGGCTACACCCCCGAGTCACTCGAAGGACTGCAAGTGGCTGCGATTACCAAGTCCCAGGGCAAGCTCAAGGATGCGAGCGAACGGTTCAACAACCGTATCGGGAAGATTTACCGCTTCTGTCGCTGTTACGGGTTGAGCCGGGAGCCTTGCATCTTCATGAGGGAAAGGCGCACCCTCAAGGGCGAGCTCACCTACGGCGAGCTCGAAGACTTCGCGAAGCTGTGTGTGAACTACGTGACTAACAACTCTGACTGTAAGTGTTCAAAGATTGCTGAAAATTTCTTTAAATTATCGGTTGTGCGTTGGTTTTAACCACATGTTTCTTTCTGCAGTTTTTTTGGGCATTTATTGGCATGTGTGGGAGGGGACACCGTTCTCGAGTCCAGAGTTTATCAAGTGCGCAACCCTTTGGGACCCTGAATTTGACGGAGGACTTCCCATCCCCTTGTTTCCTGACCAGCTGTTTGTCATTCTTGCAGCGGTAAGTTAGTCACGTTTTTCAGTTTGTGGTTCTATCATTTTTCTTTGTTTAACCGTTGTTTGTGCGATGTATATGTATCAGGTGCGATTCAAGCTCCATTATCCGCACAGCAAAGCCCAGTTCAAGCGGTCAGGGGACCCGGCTTCTTTCTCCAGGCAGGCACGGGTGGTGCAGCGCTGGATCAATGAGGGCCCCGTTGAACGTGACGGGGATTGTGTTGGCATTGGCAGCATCTGCATTGTTGGATGGCAGGAGATCTCTGAAGCCGTCCTGGAAGCAGATGAGCTTGGTGATTTGACTCGACAGGACCTCACCTCTAGGGCCTCCTATCGCAGGGTTTATAACGAGAACGGGGTGCAGCAGGAGCTGTACTAGATCGCCCATTTACTAGGAGCAGTTTTACTAGATGTAGCTCATTTAGTAGAATGTTTGCGTAATTATATCAATAATTTTAAATGTTATTTTTACTTTTTTGCTTCTGAGCGTACGAAATACCAGATACAGTAATTTATAATCTGCGTTTTAGCATACCCACTATTGAGGATATATTTATAATCATGTTCGTGAATAGGCTTTAAATCGTCCAATATAAAACGTAAAGAGAACTGATTCAAAATCAGTACACGCAACTTTCTAGGTTTCATCGAAAGTAAACATTCAGGGGCACTTCCGCTATACGAACAATTTTGTAGGTTACCTTAACATAAAAAAACGAAATTGATTGATTTGAGTGTGGTCACCTTTTGTTTTTGCGAGTCAGCGTTTAATGCAAATGATGCTGACGTGACATCGAAACAAAAAGCAACCTCGTGCCCAATGAAGTCGACCCAGATGTCCGTAACACACTCGTGTAGATTTTCCCCACCATTTCTGCAGGTTCGGCAGCGATTCATTCGCCCAACCGAAAACCATTCGGGGGATAGATGCCACTAGCATAGAAAACCAATCGCCAAAACCAGGCAAATGCCTTGCGTAGAAAACCACTTTCCCAAACAATTGCAGGACCCCGGAAATTCCCGATGTACTTGATAGGCTGAAAATGTAATGTGCGCTCACTAACTTTGATTTCCTCTTTGCATTTCCATCGGCATAACTGCCGCTGTCTAACCATGCACACAATGTCCTCGTTGCCTTGTCATAACCTCGAATCTCTAAATCCCCTTCCGTTCCACTCACCAAATGTGCCGCCCTCGCATGCTCTCATTCTCCTCACACCATTCGTATCCGTACATTGCAGTGGCTTCATGATGAAGGATCCGAATGGCGTCGAGCACCTTGTGATACCCATGTTGTACGCGTGGGTCTGTGACCGGAGAGCTCCAGAATTACTTGCACCCTCTCGGGTTCGACATTTCGGCCGTGCAGCATATGCTATGCTCACAGGGTATGTGGCATGGCGATTGAGTGTTTATGATAATGCAATCACTGATCCCAAGACATGGAACTGGTTTTCTTTGTCTTGGATAATTTGTGTACTCATTCGGCCTAACTCTCGTTCGTGCAGGACCACTTGTGTGCCGTGTCAGCCCCCAACGTTACCCGCACTCCCGTGCAACAGCGATGGATTAAGGAAAACTGGTACAAAATGGTAGAACCGTGGAAAATGGTGGGGATGGAGTATTCGACGTTCGACGTGGATGTGAGTCTGATTAACGACGCCTAATGAACCCACATCAAACTCACTGCCCTCACATGCTTCATCATACTGGCTGCCCTCCCATGCCGTGACACTCCCCCCCAATGCGCTCACCTACCACATTCGGTCCTTGATTTGCAACACTACCCTCACTCTAGTCACTCTTTTCCTATACTTGCAGTCTTCCTTATGGCTGTAAGACGCTTGGGGCAAACCGTGGGGAAATCCTTACCTCGTCATATTTCCCGACATAATGCATCAAGCGGATCTGGGGATTCTTCATCACCTTGTCGCCGCCATCCGCTCCACCTATGGCAGGTTTCTTCCCTTGTTTGACGGGTGAGTGTAGGTTGCTGTTTACACAATTATAGCAGCTGGCATAGCTATGGGACTGTTTTCAAATTTCTGTTATAGTGAAGTGGGGCAGTGCATCGCAAGTTTGTTGTGTATTCCCTACCCATGTTCGCTCGTGTCATGCTCAGGCGCATGAAAACTCTGAGAGAGGGCATTCGCATGACTCATCTGCAGCTCCCCAACTCCACGTACTTTGTGTCCGACGCCCAAGTGGCGGCATTCGAGCATCGGTCTGTCCTGCAGGCAAGTGTTACCTATGTGTATTTGGTAGCAACCACCCGTCCTCTCCCCCGCTTGAATTGTTTCTCGCTACGTGCCAAAGCAGTAATGTGTATTGCTATGAACTTTGTATTGTCTACCATGAACGTTGCATTCCCTTCCCTAAATTCACAGGTGCTGATTTTTGTGGTTGCGGACAAGCTCGGGGACCTGCAGTTGCCATTCGAGCATACCTTGAGTCGTATCTGTACTGCGCCCGGCTCCCAGGGCACACGGAGAGCACACTTGCCCATTTGCAGGAATTGACTGACAAGTGAGCCATCGCCTTCTCCCCATTCGTGCATAGCCTTGTGGTCACGTGACCCTTAGATTGTGTAGACCCAACTTACCCATTTTTTTTTTTTTTTTTTTTTTTAGAAATGCACAAAGTCGGTTTTGAATAGTGCAGACTCTTTCACCATACCCTGCCGTCTGTCTGTCATTTGTCTCCATTCCACTCATAGGAGTGACATAACTTAGGAGGGAGGGAGGGCCAGTGGTGTGCGTGGGGCTTTGTTATGCAGTGTACGCTTCAAATCCACATTCCTAGCCTTACAAGCCCTTTTGTATGCCCTTCTTTTCTGCCAATGACAGGTAGAGGCGGAGCTGAGAAGGGAGGTAGGTGGAGAGGTGTGCATGGGGCTCTGATTTGCTTGTCATTCTTCAATTCCATGCTACCACCCTTACCAGCCCCTCGTATGCCCTTCTACCCCCCCAACTGAAAGGCAACCTCAAGCCGGATGGAGGGGATTGGCTGAGGTGTGATTGGGGCTCTGTTTTGCTCCTCACGCCTCACTTTCACACTCCGTCCCTAAACCCAGCCCGTTGTGTGCTCTGCACTCCTTTTGCATACACCCCATTTCCCAATCCCTGCTATGTACAGTCTTGTGGCCACGTTACAGGAAGCTTTTCCGACCCAAAAATCAAGTTGGTGCATCATAAAAACTCACCTCCTCTCTCATTATGTCCCCGCTATTCGGAGGGGGGGTCATGTGTCGGAGTACTCTACGAACATGTGGGAGCACTTGCATGCCCCCCTTCTGAAAAGAATTTATCGCCGATCAAACAGGCGCAACGCCGATGCTCAAATAATGAAACATCACGAGAAGAGTGCGGCTTTTATCACGTTGGAGGACGAGGACGGTGTTCGCTACACCATCATGCAACAGGTAACTAACTCATGCTAAGCTGATATTCGAGTTCAACCTCACTGCCCTCCCATGCCGTCATAAACCTCACTGCCCTCACACACCCTCAACCTCCTCTCTGCCCTCCCATGCCCTCACCCTCCTCTCTGCCCTCCCATGCCCTCACCCTCCTCTCTTCCCTCCCATGCCCTCACCCTCCTCCCTGCCCTCCCATGCCCTCACCCTCCTCTCTGCCCTCCCATGCCCTCACCCTCCTCTCTGCCCTCCCATGCCTGCATCACCATCTCTGTCCTCCCATGCCCGCATCAACCTCCCTGAGTTAAGGTCTTCCGCATTCCCGAATTTATTTTTCCAATCCCTACTCACCCCACCCATAGGCGATGGACACAGGACGAGCAGTGTTGACGAGGGAATCCGAAGCACTTGCTGTTTCTCCGGCAAGTGACCCGACATCCAATAAGTTCTTTGCATCACGCCGGTCGCGGCAGTACCCAAGTGCACACAGAGCTTTGCCTAATGCCCTTGCAGATTACGGCATTACCGCGCAGACCGTTCAGGTATGTTTTATGGTCCTAGCCGGCTGTTTTTTTAACCACTTTTGTTTTGCAACAGAATCCTCAGACGTACACATACTAATGTATCTTGCGTGGTCTTGTGGCAGACCCATGCAACAGTGGCAATGCCAGCGTCAACTGACAAGAACGCCTCAAGGGTAGCTCATTTTGTGAGAGCAACCCCCGAGTGCCATAAGAGACCCTGGTATTCAGACATCGCTGTTTGGTGTGAGGGGGAGAGAGTGACCTACGCAAAGTTGCTGTTGTTGTTTCGTTGCTTCCAAGGAAGACAACACCATGAACTTGCGTACGTGGATTTCTATATGACAGCGGGCGAGGACGCAAAGAC